CCTCAAAATCTGCGCCATCGTTATAAAGGGGATTTGCTTATACCCACGATATTTTATTTTCCAACAACTTGTAACTTTTATCTTCACATCTTTTTTTCCTTTTCTTACCATTTGTGACAAAAAACACATCATCTTGTAGTTTATCGCCTCTGATCTTTGTGACGTTCATAATAACATCTTTGAATGTTGTTTTCTTGATTCTATTCACCTCTGCCTCCGTGAAATGTCTGCACAGAAGAGTATATGTATACGTACATGTTAGAATTGCACCTCTGGGAAGAACAGTTCAGAACTGATATAAGTAAAGTTAGTTTAGTTTAGGAAGAACTGATAGAGCTAATGAGCTATCCAGTATAAATAATGTTAGTTTAGGTTTCCTCCTGTAGTAACATTGGATCAATAAGAGTAGATCCTTACTGGACCTCTGGGGAGAACAGTTTAGAATTGATAGAGAAACTACCCGGTATTATGAATAAAGTTAGTTTAGTTTAGGTTTCCTTTTGTATTTTGTATCAATAAGAGATTGTCCTTACTGGACCTCTAGGAAGAACAGTTGAGAACTGATAGAGCTATCCAGTATAAATAAAGTTAGCTTAGTTTAGGTTTCCTCCTGTAGTAACACTGGATCAATAAGAGATGATCCTCACTGGACCTCTAGGAAGACCAGTTCAGAACTGATAGAGCTATCCAGTATAAATAAAGTTACTTTAGTTTTGGTTTCCTCCTGTAGTAACACTGGATCAATAAGAGATGTTTCTTACTAGACCTCTAGGAAGTTAACAGCTTAGGACAGATAAAGATATCAAGCATAAATAAAGTTAATGTTAGTTTAAAAACTGATACCTTGTCTGTTTAAAGTTTTCATACCAAAACCTATCTCCATCTCTCATCCTCAAAAACTGATCCAATATTATCTTTGAGAATAATTCTCCAGGTCCATGTTTTCCTGACTCTAACATCCCACCAACCCAGATATCAATATTGTTCGTATCATTCTTGTAGAGTTTTGAAATGTCATCTAGTACCTGGCGTGGATAACATAAGATACAGTTAGTTTGCTGTCTCTTCCGTATGTCTCTTGCCGCTAAGTTAAGTCTGCTATTGTAGATTAATGGGGGGTAGGGCATTGACCCTACCTAGTGGTGTCTAGCACCCCCTAGAGAAGTCCAGCACCGCCGCCCAAAAATCTGCTTGACCATGCCACAGAATAAAGACATACAGAAGTGTAAATTGCATTACAAAACCATAAGGTGCTTTTTTACCGAAATAGCTGGCGGCCATGTTCTTAGCAAGTGCCCTAAAGAGAGGCATTCACCCCCCTGGAATATTAAATTTTCAATATGTTTTCAGGGGGGTGACTGCCTCTCTTTAGGGGAAATTAACCTGAAGTGAGATCTCTGTATGTACTTCCTCTGTGACCATGCATTTTCTAATAAAACACAAAAAATAGACATTCCGAAAATTGTAAACATTGTCATTATTTACGTTTCGACTATAATTTAAGTCCTCTTCAGAAGAAAGAATTTTCTTCTGAAGATGACTTAAATTATAGTTGAAACGTAATGAATGATAATATTTACAATTGTCGGAGTGTCTATTGTTTCGTGTTTTATTAAAAACTCTATGACAACCGCAATTTTCATACATTTTCTGCTTTTCGAATAGTGATTAGCGCAACTTCTGCTGTTAGAGCGTGTCGATTTCTTGAAACGATTTCATCGATTTGTGAGCTCAAATTCATATTACTAGATTACATTGGTATCGAAGGAACTAGATTCTGTTCCGAAATATCACTTACTCGAACCGTCCTGACCGCGTAGCTCAGTTGGAAGAGCATTGGGCTAGTATTCCAAAGGTCGTAGGTTCGAATCCCACCGTGGCCGGGCATATTTTTCAAGCTAGCCCGGTGTGGATATACACTCAGAGTAACACCACAAATATCATGTCGAGGTTGTTATACAGCAATATTTTCAAATATACTGTACTTTAACAAGCAAGTTTACCATACTGTGCTAGTGTGCTACAGCAACTGTCCAGTCACGCAAAAAAATATCACGTAATAAAAAGCCGATATAAACTTTATAAACAAAATATAATGTAAAGCGTACAGATTCGGCCATTTCAAATAATGGTAATGTTGGAATAGTAGTTTTGCAGACTGCAGAGAAGAGTGAGCAGTAGAGGCTCCCTCATGCACCACCCCATGGAAAACCTGCACCCCTCCTTGCAGATGAGGCTATAGATCCTACCCTGTAAATGCCCACGATCTTGAGAGTTTTGATATGCGGTGATAATGATTACATGTTTCATACCTTGCTTGGCACAACGTCCGTGTCATTGTTAATTTTTCTGAAACTATCCACTGGCTGTAAATTGAAAGCCATCCTTGCTGTATTGTAGTCGGGTAGCCCGTGATCTCTGCCTCGTTGGATTGTCACCGCTGCCAGATCACGTCGCGAGTGCTCTAACGGACCATAGGCAAACTCTGGAAAAAAGATTAAACATTTAGGCCCGGTTTAGACGGCGAAGTTTTCATGCGCCGAATCTAATGCAAGGATTAAGTGCGACGCTGGTTTTGATTAAGTTCGACACGACTCGAAGATGCGACAAGACAAGTCGTATATGCGACACAGGTTATTTTATGGGGAAGTTCACAGTGTCACAGTCAGGGCCGTTGCCAGGACTTTTCCTTTTTTGGTGGTGGTAGTGGGGATGAGGTCAGATTTAACAGAATTTTTCCAGCTTAACGTTTTTACTTGATTTTTACCATTGTTGGTGGGAGCAAAATTATTTGAAAATTTGAAGTCTCTATCCTCCCCAATATTTCAATATTTTAGTATTGCTTAACAATGAAGATAAGTATTATTACTTACAGTTTAATGCGAGTACAAAAATTGAGAACATTTTGGAAATTTGGAGTCTCCAGATCGTTAGAAAGGGTATTTGGCCTGGTCCCCCCTGCTATGACGCGTCTCAACGTCTTTAGTTGGTCGATTGTTAACTCTAATTCTGATTCGGAGCACAGAGTTAACTTTTCTATGCCCTGAGAATTACCTAAATTTACCTGAAAATCTACTGGAAATCTACCTGAAATTGCTCATGAGCAATTATGGGGGGGGCACAGTGGTTCGTCCAAATCCTCCAATTCAGATTGGACTGGATTTCTGCCTCGCACTTTGATCCAGTCCTCGCCTTCCTCGACGTGATGAACTCAGTTGCCCGGACTTGAAATCTAGTCCAGTCCTCATAGCGGATTTCAAATATTACATGTAGTTTGTTTCAATATAACTACGAAATTTCTTGCAAGTCTTCAACAAAATTAGTGTCTTCAGCTTTTTGGTTGACCATTCTGTAAAGTAGTGGTTTCTGGTGATCCTGGCTGTCTCTTTCATTTGTATCACTTCTAAATTTCAAATACGATTTTATCAAGTACAGTCCTCTCTCTGTGTCGAGCATCTTAAAGTGATCTAATGTTGTACAGAACTCATGCATGTGAGTAGAGTTAAGTCTCTCTGAGCTAAGCATGGTTAGATCATGCAGATGTAGTACATGTTCTTGAATGTGGGCTATCTTAAAGTGATATGATGTTGTACAGTATACATGCATGTGAGTAGAGTCAGGCCTCTCTGAGCGAAGCATGGTTAGATCATGCAGATGTAGTACATGTTCTTGAATGTGGGCTATCTTAAAGTGATCTGATGTTGTACAGAACACATGCATGTGAGTAGAGTCAGGCCTCTCTGAGCTAAGCATGGTTAGATCATGCAGATGTAGTACATGTCCTTGAATGTGGGCTATCTTAAAGTGATCTGATGTTGTACAGTATACATGCATGTGAGTAGAGTCAGGCCTTTCTGAGCTAAGCATGGTTAGATCATGCAGATGTAGTACATGTTCTTGAATGTGGGCTATCTTAAAGTGATCTGATGTTGTACAGAATACATGCATGTGAGTAGAGCTAAGTCTCTCTGAGTTAAGTAGTGATGCACTGATATCCATATCGGTGTATCGGTATCGGCTTATCGGTACTAAAATAGAAATATCGGTATCTCTAATTTTGTTGTTGATATTACCGATATTACAAACTGTTATGAAATATTAATGATTGGTTATAGTTGCAGTTCAATAGTTATATTTTTATTACAAATAAACAGTCACTAGCGTAGTTTATATACTAGTTTGTTGCACGCATTTGCAGCATTTCATTTGATATTTTCAGTATTTAGAAACAAATGAATTGAATTAAATTCAAAAGTGTTCAAGTAGAACTGTCATGATACATGTCAACTTTACATTTTGTGAAATGACATAGAATATCGGTATCGGCAAAATATCGGTCCTTCAATATCGGAATATCGGTGAATTTCCATATCGGTGCATCACTGGAGTTAAGCATGGTTAAATATGGGCTATCCTAAGGTGATCTGTTGTTGTACACCATCCAAAGATAGACGTGCAGTCGACTATTCTCAATCTCATCCAAGACTTATATATGAGCCACACCTTTCTTGTGCTTCATTAAAGTGTAATATTTCATTGTTACCTCAGAGTTCCAGTATCTGTTGCAGAGTCTGCAACGAGTATACTCATCCCCAGGATATTTACAATCATTCGGGTATCTAGTAAAGTAAAAAAAAACACATTTGGATAATGATGTATTGTACAACACATCTTCTGTTGCTATGATCATGAGTTTAAAGTGTGCCTTGACTACCTGACCAGCTTATTGTAGAGTACAGCGCTTTTCCTACCCTATTCCACTATTATTATTACTATTATTATTTATTATTATTATTATTTTAAAATACAGTATTCCCTATCCTGGCTTTTCAATACTTGTTTACATATAAAATATTAAAAGTTCTATTAATATAAAAGTTGTATATAAAATATTTAATCTTTACGATAATGTTAATTGTTTCCTAACATTTTCTTCTTCAACTCAGTTTTGAATGGTAATTTCTTCAACTCGTTTTCTATGGCTATTCCAAATCTTTACAGTTCTATAATGGAAACTCTTTTGCCTTGTCGTTGTTTTGTATGGTGGAATAATTAGATCCTCCTTATTCCTCTAGACAGCTATATTCTACACAGACAATCTTCGAGTTAGTCACTGCTTGCACAGCCAGTCTTATATGACTAAAATTTACGAAGATTTTCGAAGTGTTTCCCAATAACTCTCTGCTTAGATATTTAGACTACGTGCACACGGTAACGTTTTCGAGCGTTTTCATTTGCGTTTTCACGCTAAAACGGATGCGAAAACTATTAATTTACGACTGAAGCTGTAGTTTATTTAATATATTGGAGATATTTTCCTTTGAACCACGTGAACAGGGCATCAAAGCGATTAAAGGGACAAAAACGTTTTTGAAAACGCTCGAAAACGACGCCCGTGTGCACATAGCCTTAGTTCCTCTTCCTGTAATATGGCCTGTAACTCCGGAATTCTTAAAGGGATATGGCAATATAAATTAAGTTTGTCTTATTTGAAAGAACATTTAAAATGATATATAAACTTCCTTTACACTAGTTATTCCGTATCTTGCTTGGTTTTCGAAATAAATCGACTTATTTTGATCAAAAGCAGCGTGCATTCCGCCATCTTGGATATGCATTCGATATGCATACGTCACAAGTAGGGTAAAAAGCGAAACTTTTATCTTGCAAACCACATGTCATTATCAATATGAAACTCGATTTTCCGAAGTCTTTTTAGTACTCAATTAACTCACAACATTTTAAGAAACTTTTGGAAGAAATTTAGTCCCACATGAAGACGTTTTAACAAGTCTGCCCTGCTTGTGACGTCATCAAAAACTGAGGCCCGCGGCATCTGCCGCATCTGCCACGTAGTTAATAGGGAGCTTTAGATTTGACTACGAGTACGACTACGAGTACGAGATTTGATCGCGTGCGAGGAAATAACCGTAGTCGTTTTCGTTTCCATTCAAATGTTGCTTTTATAACAGTAAACCAACAACTAGAGAAAAAGTTTCATAAAGTAAATCTCCTGCCGACTAAAATCCCCTACAAAACGTGTAAATAAGTCATAACATTAAAAACAGGCCAGATATTTAGCACTAATATATTATTTGCGCCGGATAAACGCTATATAAATGCTACAAATTATTTTTGGAAAACAAAAAAAAGTCAACTTTCTTTGTTTTTTTTGAAAAGTCGTCGTGAGGACTACGAGGTTTCTCCACAATTTCGTACTCAGATGGGCGACGGCTACGACTTTTTAGCGTCAGTACGGGATGGCGTAAGCATACAGCATGCGTTTAGCTTGACGAATCTCGTACTCGTAGTCGTACTCGTAGTCAAATCTAAAGTTCCCTAATACGGCCCTGACTGCGAATGTTTTAAATTGCTTCAAAAACGATCGACCTGGTAAGTTTATTGGCGAAGTAATTTTAAATAATACGTTGTGTAAGTCGAGAAAATCAAAGTTAAATTTTATCGGTAAATCAATATGCTTTTTAGTCGCTGGGCAGAGCTCGCAGCGACTCTAGGTTTCGGCACGCATTTGTGTCGGATCTTGGATCGTTAGCCACAAAATGACAATACGTCATTAATAAAAAATAAAAATTACGTCATTACTATTCGTCGCTGAATTCAAGATGGCCGCTTACTACGAGCGAATGGTATCATCGATTTTGTACATATTTTTTTTATTTTTCCGATGAACCTTAAAAGTTTTCCGATGAAACAGACTTTATAAAGCGAAAGTCATTTTATGTGAGTAAACTTGGAAGGCTACAAGCTTGAAATAGAGGACAAAAGTTCACAATTTTCAATTTTACAAAGTTGGAACGGGCCGCAACCTTTGTAAATCGCAAAAATAATATTCGCAAACTGCTGTTTATTTGGGTGCTTTTTTTACGGCTGTTGATGCAAATAATCCTGTTACGGATAGGTGGTCAAAAGAACATGGTGTAGCCTAACAAGACCGAAATACAACCACAGTGATCACCATTCATCACTACTTGTGTGAAATTTAAACTTTGCCGCTAGGTGTCAGGCTTTTAAATCTGTAATATTTCAGTCATTTTATGATCAATGTATTGTGTTTCTAACGCCAAACTGGAAAATGTTGGAGCCACAGTAATAGACTCTTTCAAGGTCAAGATGCCATAATCAAACACAGTCTAAGAGCTGCAAACACAATGGAAATTCCTACTAGTAAATTTGCAAGGTTGTATAAACACAATGGTGTAAAAAGGATTGATGCACATGATTCGTACGCAAAATTCCCATTGGTCAGAAATAAATAGCTTTGTTTTTAAGGTAATGCCAAATTGTTGTTCACGTAATGATATTCCGTACTTGTAATTGTACTTTAACTATTTTTGGCCATGTTAATGACTGCCTTTGCTGCAGTCAATAACAGTTATGATTATTATTTAATATGTAATTCCTGGGCATTTGATGAAAATTGGAATATTTAGTTTTGAGATATTGGTGGAAAAGTTGGCCATTATTGTCATATTTTAAATTAGCTTTGATAATCTAATGTATCAATTAATTCCAGCAGTTCCCACCCCTGGGCCTTTGCAGCTATTCCTAATCATGGGGGTGGGGCTATTGCCGATATTTTTTAGCCCTGGGGTGAGGATTTTGACATTTTCCATCATGGGGGATTTGGTAGATTTGCTGGAAAACTGATATTTAATTTGATTGCAAATGGCTTGTGGACATAGCCATTTTCTTCCCAGAAATGGCTAATACCTCGGGGGGGATGGGCACTGCTGGAATTGACTGATACGTAATTAACAATTGCCATTTTGATTGGTTGTTATTTTTGTGCATCCCAATCATTGTCCACTTTTTATTGACTTCAGTAACAGGCTTACCCTGCGAGCAAAGTCCTCTCGTATTTCTTCTCAGCACGAGAGAGACTCTGCAGAACTTGTGTATATTCTTTGTGGAGCCGACAATCCAAAAACATGGATAATTATGAGTAATTTCAGGTTTGATACCAGTTTTATAACCGGTTTTGATCTGAACCGGAAACTACTTATTAAATCTTCCTCTGGGAAATAGGCAGTTGCTTAGCAACCTTCGCGCATGCTCAAATGAATTTATACACAAGTTCTGCAGAATCTCTTTCGGTTTTCCGTGCCGTGCCGAGAAGAAATACGAGAGGACTTTGCTCACAGGGTATAACAGGCTCTATTTCAAGCATCGAGCCTGACACGCAAGCTACCTTCAAAGGGCCTATTTGGCAACTTCTGTTGTGGTTACCCAGCCTGAGGCAAAAGTAATAAATTATGAATTGTTATAAATGTTCTGTGAAGTGCACATATTTTTCCTGCAGTTAGGGACCAGTCCTTATTTATGGAAGAGGGAGGGGGGGGGCAAAAGGTGGGGCCATGACCCCATGAGTATAAATAATTTACTAGAAGGGGGGGATTAAATTTTTTGAGAAAATCAGTTGAAGGGTCAAAATGTGGAGTTGTAATAAATTTGTTTAAGCCTGGTTTCCAGTGTCCTCGAAGTTGGCCTAAGCCAGATAAATCCAATATATGATATCAACCTCGTACCCAGGGCTTCTGCGCTTATACACTGCTCTCAGAAGAGAGAGCAATAAGCGCAGAAGCCCTGTGCAGAAGACCTTATTTTAATAGCCCCAGCGACTAAACGCTCAACAGAGCGTCTTGTTTGTTTTAAAATGCATGCGTTTGTTTTTACGTAATGGACCGTCGGAAAATATTACTAAAATCACTAAACTGTCAACATCTCCGCTAAGATTTTCAAACGGGAAAAGACGTTTGATAATTCCAAATTCAATTTTGGTTCAATCATGTGATCAAATTGTTTCATCATTTTGGTCACATGACTTCACGATTTGAGAATGCTGATTATTCCCAGTCAACTGCGAAACAACTCAGTATATCATCAAGATTGAGATCATATTTTCGCTAAAAGGGAGATCATAAGATAGATAGATTGTTTATTACGATTATGGAACTCTAAAATGAACATAACACGTTTGCAACAAATATTTCATATATTCTGTTACATTGACCTTCGTTTGGATGTTTTGTGACCTTGTTTACGTTTGAATAAATTGACTGTTGAGTAACGAATTTCTGACTTTTATTTCAAGCCTATACGCACCTGATTGGATAATAAAATTAGAAACCCATATACAAAAATAAATTGATAACAAAAACATGAAGTCAGTGATCAAAATGATGAAACAATTTGATCACATGATTGAACAAAAATTGAATTTGGAATTATCAAACGTCTTTTCCCGTTTGAAATTCCTAGCGGCGATGTTGGCAGTTTAATGATTTTAGTAATAATGGACCGCTGAAAGTGCTTCTCAGCCAATCACAGTCCACCATTTCACCGGAAGTGATGCTTGCCATATAATAAGCAGGCGTAAAGTGGTTGCATTTCAAATTTCGCCATATTCTGAATGAAGAGGAATTGTGGCGTCAGCAATAAATTCCATACGCCAGAGTACACGCCAAATCGCAGCGTGTATTAACGTAGCTTAAAGGCACAGTTCAGCCTTTTGAATGATGGTTTTTAAGGCGCATTTCAGCCCTTTTAATTGAAAAAACTAACTAGGAAAATCAATTAAGCATAATTCAAAATCAGCAAACTTAATGTTTTTAACATTTAAAACATTTTTATTGTAATTAAAGGGGCTGAAATGCGCCTTAAAAAGCATCATTCAAAAGGCTGAACTGTGCCTTTAAGCTAAAAACAGTTTATCGGCAAAAGCAGTTTAGTTGAATGAACATTTCAAAACATTTTTATACGAAGCGTTTCAGATAAAATTTTACATTAAATCAAAGCTCACAAAATGCAAAATACCATTCCTATACAGTATATATTTTGGAAATTCATTGTTGTATTATTAAAAGTACCAATCTTTTTTTTAGTACCAAAACGTACCAAGATTATTTTTTGAGTGCGTAAGAATTGTTTAATCTTTTTGCTGACGTGTTTTGAATATTTATGTTCTTTTAGTGGTTTCCATCTCGCAAAGGTCTTATATCTGGTATCATCGTGTCTGGATTTGGTGCTGGTGCATTTATTTTTGATCAAGTGCAGACAGCATTTATTAACCCACATAATTTGAAAGCCAATGTGACTGAAGGCCCTGGTGATGAAAAGTAAGTTATCTAAGAGTAATAATATTCGGGAAGTATCGTAATTGTCACCATCAATCACAACTTTTACTTATACGGTCAACTCGCGCACTAGCGTGTGACCTTGTGTACATAAATAAACAAATTGGCAACACAATTACTCGCAAGTTTACAAACGACAATTTTTTCAAGGTTGTGTTGAAATAAAGATTAGATCAATTAATAATGTCTCAACAGTCCAGTTGAATGCTTTAAAATGTGTTAATTAAAATTCAAGTGCAAAGTTAAATAATTCAGGTGTGATTTTTCATTAGTACTTCGACGGAACAAGGGTTATTTCCTTTTAATTAATAACCATTATTTTTGGATTAGCGCGTGTTCAAAACACTACAGTGAGACCACAGTTATTTTAATAGATGGTTTGGAGACTCATAAGGTACAATATAACTCATTAACTATGTTATTGTCCAGCTTTATGCAAGAATTTAGTCCTATCTCGTCACGTGTGTATTGCATTTTCGCTCAAATAACCAATAACAAGTTTGTGGTTGAGTTATCCATCCGTAACTTGAACAAATGCTCAACTTAAACATTCTATTGGTTGTGCGGGAAAAAATACAATACACACGTGACGAGATAGGCCCAAATTCTTGCATAAACCGAAACCAACATAGTTAATGAGTTATATTGTACTTTCATCGAGTCTCCAAACCATGTATTCTATTAACTGTGGTGAGACTGATAAATTTTACAATATGATATCCGAACCACACGGTTTGATCATATCATCCCGATTTTGTACCTTTGTCTTTGGCGAAATATTCATAATACCGCTCGTGCTTCGCCCAATTAAAAAAATGTGCGATTTTTAATTTTTATTAATAGTATTTCCTAATTAACAAACAAAGTAACTTTGAATCGAGGAAAGAATAAACTTGCGTCCGTTACCAAAACAGCATGTTATACAAACTGGCGGTTACTTTGTTTCAGAATAAATCCTGTCATAAGTTAAAGGTGATCTACAGTCCGATCTGCGCATGTGCACAAATGAGCCCACTTTTTATGATACAAACAGTTTGACTATGTTTTGAGTTCTTGAAAAGCCTGATTGTTGTTTCTTGATCATTTATTATACTCTACAAGCTTGAAAATATAAATAGTTGTCGAATAAAGCTCAATATTTTGGACAAAAAAATGTAAACAAAGGCTTTGTTTACATACGGACTGTAGATCACCTTTAAGGTTACAGAAGACCTTTGAGTGTTAATTTTACCTAATTTTTTTTTATTGGTTTCCATGAAAGCATTAGACTAGTTCTACTATCTGACCAAATTTGAACGAAAAATGTTGAAAACTCGCAGAGTTATTTAATAAAATACATTTCGCTGCAATAAGAAAAACATTGAAAATGTAATATTCAAATTAAATTTTCTCCCGAAAAATTTTACGGTAATTACTGATTTTCAAACGAGTTGTGCCCCTGCGGGTTTTAACCAATTTTTCTCAAATTTTCACAGGACATAGCTAAATACGTCAGTTTCAAAATTGTGTTCGGCTTTTTTTAATTTTGGATATTTTAATAATAAAGAGCAATTCACTCAAACAATTCAGAAATATATTGCAGTCGTCAAAGAAATCGCTATATCAGCGGAATGACGAAATAAACAAAAATTTCCGAACACAATTTTTTAGAACAACTATTTTGCTGTATAAAAATGATATTTTCATAAATATAACTTAAAACCAGCAGGAGCACAACTCAAAAGCGTAACGGTACCGCGATTTAAGATTTTCCTGAATAATTCTTACATTATTTTATTGTTTGTTAATTTTACAACTTTACCATATTTTGCATACCCTGGCGAACATTTAGTGAAAATTTGATTAAAATCGGACTGATATTGAGCGCGCAGTAGCGGTTTTCCGCAAAACGCCAAAAATGGTGTCCTGTAACCTAGGTGACTCTAGACAGAAGACACTCTTACGATTTTCATACTTTTCTAAAGGGAATAAATATGCCTCCTTTTCAAGATTTGTGCGTACTCGCGAGTAGCGGCTCATACCAGTGCTCGAAACACTCGCGAGTGTCTCGCTCGTACTCGCTACTCTTGAATCAACTGTATGTTACTCGAGAACGGGACTATACAGTACAATCACATTGAATAAGCCAAGTCAGAGCCTGGACTGTGCATCCACATGACGCGTACATCACGCGTCCGGATAAATTGCAGTAAATTAATTGAATCATGACATGTAGCTGAGACCTAAGTTCTCTCAAAAAAGGCTAAATCCGCAGAGAAATTGGGGGGGGGGGGGATATACGTTACATGTTCGAAGCTGAAACTGTCTAAGTACGACTCGATTGAGGAAATGACGATATACTGGAGGAAGTTGATTTGTAAAATCTCGTTAAAGCAGCTCTAGTAGTTGTAGATATGGTTTCAAGTAGAATGGATTTAGTGTAGATTTTAACTGTTAAATACAGAACATTTCTGATCAAAATCACATTGGGATTTTCTCACCCAACATCTCAGAGGGGAAATAAGGTGACACTGACCTCTCCTCCTGTTTATCAAGGTGACGTTTCCAACTTATTTCATTCTGAGGAGAAATGTCTGGGAAAATTCATGTCTTCGATGTACTTTATTATCTTCGGAATTCCGCAAGATTCCCAAAAATGTTTGGGACTCTAGATTTCAAAATTTTTCCGGGGGTTCAAGCCCCCGGACCCCCCTAGACGGTATCACGCCTTTGGCGTTCGCTCGACCCCCTAACCCCCAACCCCCCCCAACAAAAAAATAAAAACAACGAAGTTTTGCCTACGCCACTGCTGGTCAAAAAAAAAATTCATTAATGAATTAAACCAAAGCAAAAAACACATTTTTATTAATGAAACCAAAGTAATATAAACAACACTTTCCCGCCATTTCTTGCTGCATTAACCCGCGTACGATTTAATTACCAATATGAATCGATCGAAATAAATCGGAAAATTAAAAAAAAACAGTGACACACAGACTAATTTGCCAAAGTTTTTCAGCATCTGGGCTGCTGGATTTGCCATGAAAGACGGTAAATCGTAGGTTTCGTCGTGTTTATACTCAGTTTTAATTTTCGAAATTATTGTATTTTTTGTCTTTCGCCGAAAATATATCTAGCAGTTATTATCAGAAGCAGTGGCGAAGCTAGAGGTCGTGCTAGTCGTGCTGGGCACGAGTAAAAATGTTTTCAAAGAAAATAATTTTTTAGTCTTAAAAAAATTCCCTCAAAATTTTAAAAATGATTCATGGTACACGTGCGTCATCTATTAAGTGCGAAATCCTCTCAAATCCGGTGATTTTGCTCTGATTTTAAACCAATTCGAGGTATGATTGCATAGTTTCACCCGACTGCGGGTTAATAGCACGACCAACGGGTAATCCGCCCGTTAGTCGTGCTCTCGTCATGCGAGCACAACTAAATTATAAATTCCAACGCATTCTATTGGCTAAATTGCTCCTCGCGCATGCGTATCTCGCTGAATTTTGTCTTCTGGTCGTGTTCATCTTCGAAAACACGACCAAGTTAAATACCGTAAATTATTCAGCAATTCTGTCGAGATTTATTCAAGTTATCTTAGTTATGTATATATGGAAATTGACCAATGTCAATCGAGTGAATCGTAGGAAGGCTATTTTGATTTGGATAGAATATTTCTGGCTTCTAACAAGATATTTTAGCTCACGAAATGCTTGTGAACAGACTCGATTGTGTATTCTACTGTATATATAATGGCGAATATAAACAAGATTTGTGAAGACCTTTCCTATTGATATAAATATATTTACTATACCAGTTAATTTGCTTTATTACATGAGTGCTTATATAATTGGAGGTTTACAGATATACCAAATATCTAAACAAAGTATTTTTTAACATTAGGTTTCTGCTTCAAATTTACAAGGTCCTTGTACACACTATACTATAGTATACTTGACCTTACGCAATTCCAAATGGAAGATCATATTACAGGAGGGTATTTAATAAAAAGTACACAATCATACAAAATTCTCCTCTTTCTTCTGGCTATATTGAGCGACATTTTCAGTTAAGTTGAAATATATAGTGAAATAAAATTAAATTTTGTGGAAATACAAATTTCCAAAAGAAAAAGTATTAAGAATTTTCCTCTTATCACACGTTTTTTTGTTACTCTCTTTGCATAAATTTCACCCTGAAATCGCAGGAAATGGCCATTCCAGACTTCAAAAATCAAAATTTTCCCGGGGGTACATGCCCCCGGTTCCCCCTAGCCTGTGCCGGTCTTATAGTCTTAGAGCATGACTAGTCAAATGCCCTCAGCTTCGCCAGTGATCAGAAGAATTGAAGATACTTTCTAAATCACTTATATTCAGTTTTTGTTGCCTTTTTGTATGTATTTGGTCTTCCTGTATCTTTTTCAAGTTGTTTTCTCGACTATTTTGTACGCTTTTACCCAAAACTTGTCGAGACAACAACAAATTCGACGAATGCCAAGCCGGTTAATTTTACACGTAGAACTATAGAAAATTGCTTTGTTTCTTTGGTCTATTCCTTCTTGCTTTCTGGTAAATTTTGTATTTTAAAAGCTGTAGGTTTGTTTACATTTTTTGCTAAAAAGCAGTGATGAAGCGGGAAAAAACAGAGAAAGAGCAAGGCAGTTGCCACAGATCACAGTGCATTATTGCGTCACAATGCACGCGCATTAGCCAATCAAATCGTCTGTTATATCACACTTATATTATTTTATAAAGGTAATTGAATTCAATAACTGAGAAAATATTTCTGTTTTTGTTTAAGATATTTTAGTCAACATGAGCTATTAGGAAATGTACCTGCCATTTTTATCCTACTTGGTTGTGTGTATGCTGCAATGACTTCTGTTGGTTCACTTCTTTTAACAAAACCTGAAGTAGATGGTCCACAGGTATTAATTTAATTTAATTAAAATTATGGTAAGATATAATTACTATATATGACTGAGAGCTGATTGATTTATTAAAATATCAAATGTCTATTAGATATATCTATCTTCAAATCGTCTTTCCCACCGTTCCCTCAGGGTTTTTCCATTTTCATAATGATTATTCTTTTACCTTTTCAAGACGTCTGTTTACACTGCTCTAATTGACGATACTGACTCGGGTTGTAAGGAGAGCCAAGATCCGTAAGTCTATAGAAACCTTAACTTTCTGCATCCTATACAGTTTCCTTATAATTTAAAAATAATATGGAGGGTAAAAGTTTAGTTTGTGTCATTTTGTGGAAGAATTGGCTGTCCGCCATACAGATGACGTCCATATAACATTATTTATCACACGGGAAGGAGTGCAATTAATGATTAACACTACGAGTGATATTTGAAAAATGTGCCAAAATTGCACGAGCCGCCGAGGCGAGTGCAATTTGGCACATTTTTCAAATATCACGAGTAGTGTTAATCATTAATTGCACGACTTGCCCGTGTGATTATTTATTTATTATATGCATGCATGACACAATCGCTTTCTTTATATATTAACTGCATTTTGTCAAGAGTTTTTAATTCTTTTGTAAGCAATTTGGTATAAACAAACTTGGGAAATGATTATAAACTCAAAAAGGCACATAACTTAAACTAGAACATAAGATTCAAACTCAAACAACATATTTTAGACTAAGAAAATCTTTATGAATTGTATTTCAAACTTACATAGTCATGTTTCGCTGCATCCCGCCGAGATTATTTCTCAAAACTGCTTACATGCAGGTATTTTCCACAGGCTCTTTTTGCCATACAATCTTTTTTAAACTCATTCTTGTGCCAAAATTCAGTTAAATTCGTCCACATTTGTCAGAAATACTTATTTAAATTTCGCCGCCATATTGGATTTTGTTGTTTTGATTTCCCGCTCCCCCCAGCCATCACGAAAATCATTAATTGCACTCCTGGTGAGTGCAATTAATGAAATAATTGCACTCCTCTTTACCAATCAGGTTGCAGTAATTTTGTCATGTATATAATAGACGTTTTTAAAGATTTAAAAAAATGTTTTCAGTAAATTTGGTACTTGAAATCGTGACCAACGTTAAAGTTTCGGCTCATAACGACCATTGATTATCTAGGTAAAATATTTTGCGTGACGATAATATATGCATGAATATGTATTCAGGAAACAAAAGTGAATAGTGTTTTTATTCGTTCTTTATTTTCTTTTGTTATGATCAACCTGTTTATATAGGTTGGTACTGATCCGCTTGTGATATGCATATCCCAGTGGCACATCTACAATAATCCAAAATGGCAGTCAGCTCATTGATTTCTGCTGATTTCGGTCAAAATAATTTATGATCTATAAGCAAGATTTAAAAAGCTGTATCACACTGTTGTACGCATAACGTTAAAAGTTGACGTCTTTCAGATTAGGCAAACCATGATCTTATATGCAGTGTTTCAGCAATTCAAAGTCGAGTGTTCGGATACCATGAGATGTGAGATTTCCATGCATGTGCATGCATGAATGGATATATATATATATATATATATATATATATATATATATATATATATATATATATATATATATATATATATATATATATATATATATATATATATTTGTTATATAGTTAGTGTCAAAGTTCAATTTTTCTGTTTGCCGATTGGTCAAAACCGTGTCACGTGCGGTCCACAAAACGTCATGTTCGGCAACCGGTCCGCAATCAAACATTTATTGACCGGTCAATAATAAAATGGGTGCAATTAATACGCATGCGTGTCAACCATGAACTTCATTTTTAAAACTTTTTACTAAACGTTTACGGCGTTCCATTTGTCCAGTTTTGGTTTCAAATTAAGTTCACTCCATATTTATTTCATTTCAAAGTGCGAGTAATAAGTTGATTAGTTGAACCTCGAGTTGAAGAGCTTAATATCGGCAAAAAGCAGTTAATCTCAATCAATTCACATTTAAAAAAGTTTGACATACAGTTTCGTTTTGAATTTTACCGTAGAGTAAAGCCCATAGAAAGCAAAATAATATACTTTATATCTTTTTTAAATTGATAGTTCTGTATTTAAAAGTGTTCAAGTTTCATCTATTTTTCATTTTCTGGCAGATTTGTACAAAAAGTTTAAAAAACAATTATCGTGTTGCCATGACTAACATGGCGTAACAACGCGAGCCTGCGTTCAGTGTTGGCATAGTTACGAATACTTCATGTGCCTTCACAGGGCACAGGCAGAAAACTTTGCCTGCCGCGACTGGGTTTCGAGGCCGCGCGACTTTCGAGTTACTTTCTAACAAACATACTTGCAGGTTCGGTGAGTCCGAGAATGGACTCACCTCGGGTGGCTGGAAGTTTCCCGAACCCATCGAGCGAATGTTTGGTTTTTATCACATGCCATTTCGGTAAAAAGTACTGAATTGACGCATTTTAGTATATAATTTCTTGTTTGGATAACGAACATTTTAACTGCCAACATACTACGCAAACAAACAAACTTACGCTTAAATTGAAGTTGAAAAAATTCTCTACAATATTCCCTTATTCTTGAAAAGAGATAATGAATACATTCTGCGAAAACATTGCCAAGATTTATACAAACCCTGCCCGTGCCGAAAAATTTCGGCGGCCATCTTTATTCTCTTCCACTTTGATTACAGAATATTCCATTTTCATCAAGCAAAATAAAAAATAATTATTTTAATTATTAAATTCATTTCAATATTAAAAACATACAATTACAGTTTTATAATCAATAGATTAATCAATAATAATCTGCAACAATTATAATAAATATTTGATTAAATTTATAAGTTCTTTGAATAAAGTTGTTTCAATAGTCACAAAAAAGGCATGCACACAAATACTTAACTTCAAATTGTTGTAACAACAAGATATACAATAATAACATCAAGTTTAAAAATGTCATCAATTCAACAAGTGTTCAACAATTTAAAAAATAGTTTTTAGCTTTTACAAATGTTTATTGTAATGCCACCCTCAATTTTACAATTAGAAAAGGTTGGGATCGATGGGAAGGTTTTTTCCATCACTTGTCTTGTCTGCTCAAGAACTGGTGGTTGTTGTTTCTGGATGTGGCTTGGGATGACATTTGTACCAAATCTGAATTTTCTGAGGTTGTTTGATTCTCTAATTGGCTTACGGCAACCGAAAGATCTTGGTCGTCCATGTCATCTTTAAAGAATATTGGATCAGAAGAAGCCAAGGCTTGTCGAGGGTCTACAATAGTTGCAGAACTTCGGTTAGGTCGACGTTTTGTCTGTATTATGTTTTCTTGATAGGGGTTTTGTCGCTTGGACAGTGGAATACGACATTCAGATCTGGAAATTACATAGATCTCTTGCAATGAGGGGTTTGAAGTGCGTGAGGAAGGTTGGTAATTGGTTTCTCGAGGATGTTGTTGGTAAACCAAGGCTTGTCGAGGGGCTACAATAATTGCAGAACTTCGGTTAGGTCGACGTTTTGTCTGTATTATGTTTTCTTGATAGGGGTTTTGTCGCTTGGACAGTGGAATACGACATTCAGATCTGGAAATTACATAGATCTCTTGCAATGATGGGTTTGAAGTGCGTGAGGAAGGTTGGTAATTGGTTTCTCGAGGATGTTGTTGGTAAACACTGGAAATTTCATCTTGTTTGGTTAGACAGCTTGAATCACCGGTAAGGGTATAACCAAGTGTGCATCCCATTCGGAGTTTTTCATCTGAAGCCACTTTTTGATAGATAGCCAAACTTGCACTACTTCGATAGCCAGTTCATGGAGATTATTTGCTTGTCGTGTAGTTGTTACGCTTCAAGGCTGTTATCCCAGAAGTTCTTAGGCTATGGTTGGTGTAACCTTTTTGTGTGAATCCACAACTTTGGGCCAATTTTGACATGAAGCTATCAAGAGAATTGTAGCCAACATTGCCGGGACCATACCAAACCTTTGACCATCAGTAGGAAATAAGTTGAACTTAGGAGTTTGCCAGAAGTAGGATGAAGGGCTTCTGTATACATAATGAAGCTTCGTACTGGGCAATATTTCTTATCAACCATGGAGGGCATGTAACCAATGAGAATATAATTTTCGCTCGCTTTATGATAATTCTTTGTTGCTTCATCTTCTGCTCTTATCACATACTTCAGGTCATCGCAGTTTTTTCATCAAGTTTGACCACAAATGTTGTCTTCGTCATTTTATGCATGTTTTCTGCTCCACGACGGGCAAAATAGTACCTGATGTCTAACTGGACTTTCTTCTGGAGGTGTCTTGGTCCAATGTCTGGATCTAAGTGGTATATATCAAACAAGTCTGAAAACAACAAAATGTGGTATTAAATTAATTTAGTATGACGGACATAATGACGGGTTACAATAGCTTATTTTTAGGCTACCTGCTCTGTTAATAGCTTCATGGTTCTTCGTGAAACCCTTTCCTTCTTGCTTCAGCTCTTTGGTCGCCTCTTCGTATGCTTTAATACTCGAGGTGAAAGCTGTACATTCTCTCTTTGTAATTGTAATGCCAAATTTATGTCCGAAACTTTTCAGCGCTCTGTTTAGACTGTAGCGAATTGTTTGAAGGCTTCCTACTTTGTGTCCATCTTTAGTCCTCGCAGCGAACCAGAATTTTGCAAGGTGCTTGTCGAGTTTTTCTTCGCTGAATTCGTAGAAGTTGTCCTCTCTCCAATTTCAATTAAATAGTCCTTGAATATGCCTTCTGCTTTTTTTCATTTTAGTTGTATTGTTGTTTTTAAGGCTCTCTTGTCTTATTTTCAAATCTTCGTCAGAAATTTGTTGAAATCGCGCCATATTAAAATGGCCGCCAGCAAAACATCGATCTCGAACCCATCTCCTAAACATACGTCAGCAGGTGGGTTCAAGATTGAACGCACCTCCTCGTAGCCAATAGGAAAGCCGCTAATACGCTAGGTATGAGATAATAGATAGATGCTCTACCAACTGAGCTACACGGTCAGGACAGATTGAAGACTGGAAATTATGAACTATATACTGAATGTCATAAACATGTATACACAGTATTATGTAGTTTTTACCTCAACTCGTGGATGAAACAGGGTGTATCAGAAAAATCTACACAGTTGGAAAACGTTCACTAAAGTCAGATGCGCGCGACATTTGCGAAAACGTTCAGTAAGCCTATGTACTTTAACGTTCTCTGGTGCATCAGATCTGCCACTAAAAGTGCTAGCGTTTTTAGAGTGGGAAAGCGGTTACTAAAACCCCCAAAAAGGCCTTGCGCATAAACATTTTTCATCGGAAACAAAATTTAATCGCACAGAGTCAAAATATGGACTGTCTTGTACAAGCTACCAAACGCCAACGCCATACGCCAACGTCAGATCTTCAAAACGTGGATTTTCTTCTATTTTGTTAGTTCAAACGCAATTTCTTTGCATGATTTCAAATTAATTTTATGCATGCTCGGACGTTTGCATAAATTATACAGTACGAAATTCGCAAGGCAATTCCCAGCGTTTATTTATAAACAAAATCAATTTTCAACGTGCCCTCTTATGTTGATTTGATTGATTTTGTTTGGAAATAAACACTGCATGCATGTAAATAATTTTGTGAAAGGACTTGGAATTGGCTTGCGAATTTCGTACTGTAATTTATACAAACATCTGAGCATGCATAAAATAAATTTGAAATCATCCAAAGAAATTGCGTTTGAACTAACAAAATGGAAGAAAATCCAGGTTTTGAAGATCTCGCGTTGGCCTAGGCGTGTACCAAATTTCTTGAAACTTCGATAGCTTGTATAACAGAGACCATATTTTGACTTGAGGGAGGGGAGGGGGGTAGTAACAGCTTTCCTACTCTAATAACGCTAGCATTTTAAATCATTTTAGTGCTAGATGTACCAGAGAACGTTAAAGTACATAGGCTTAGTGAACGTTTTCGCCATTGTCGCGCGCATCTGACTTTAATGAACTTTTTCCAACTGTGTACTTCTTTCTGATACACGTACACCCTGTATAGTGGCAACCTTTTGAGGTAAAGAAACTACATTAACTGCTATAGCTCCGTCTATAATTATAATATCGAGCACTCTTTTAGCATTTTATGAACCAAAACACACTCGTGTATGTATATACATGTAAGTACAAATGATATAAAGAATTCTGTTAATTTACAGCAATCCCAATATTGCATGGGCATATATTTGCCTCTTCAGATATTTGGAGACGAGCGGCGTTGAAATGATCAAGTGGTTGTATTTACTAATTACTAATTTTATAATCAGGTGTACTACTAAAGCATTCGACGAAATCAGTTAAAATTTTGTATATTTCATAATGACCTTCATCGAGCATGTGCTATACAGCCCTGCGACCGCTGAATACCCTGATTACAGAAGCCTATAATGACATGTGGGGATTAGTGTAGTGTCGTATCTATTTTTGTTTTGCAGTAATCTTTATATTGAAGATAAACACCCGATGGTTGTTATAAAAACGAGAGAACTTTGGACGCTTTGGTTCATGTTTCTTACTAATGGGCAAGCTGTACAATTTACAGCTGCATTGTATAAAGTGAGTACGCTAAAACATCGTTTATACTACACGCTCCATTTTGGTACAATTTTTATGCTTGCTCGGAATACCTATTTACAAAGGCCAAGCATGGATAAAAATGGTACGGGTGCCAGTTTTATCCGTGCCGTACCAAAAATTGAGTGTAGTGTAAACGGGGTTTTAATGAACCTATAGGGATGGGTCGAATACGATCGATATACGATAGTTGTTGGAGGTACTATACTCTAGATCTGTCTCGTCCTATTTATAAGAATGACTCAATGGACCGTCCAAATTTGGTTAGGGACACGATCCTAGCTTCGAGGACAAAGCCCAATTTGTCAATTTCAAACACTCACAGTCCGTACTTTATCAGATATAATACACTCGGCAGTCGCCTCGTGTTTTGCATCTGATAAAGCACTCCTGCTCGTGTTTTAAATAGTACTTAATAGACAGTATCCAACGAATTGCGATCCTGTAATACGAAAGCTGCAGTGTATATGATTATCCGTCATCTTGAGGCACACTTCGGCTTTTTGTACGTAGACCCTTCGTAAAGAGAATCATTGGGAAATGTTTTTCTAACTTGATTGTATTGTCATCTTCCTTGCATCATAATCTCGTGACGAACGCCAGCTTCATGAACTACAAGGCTCCTGAAATTACTATAGAATCAAGACATGTATTTTTCCACGTTTAGACATACGGTCAGACGTTCATCTCGGACGATCGTTTTCTGGCAATAGTTGGATCCTTTGCTTCGATATTCAATGGTCTTGGTAGAATATTCTGGGGTTATCTTGCTGATAGAATAAGTTTCAGGGTAAGCATAATTATATAGTATAAGGATTGAAAAATTTAGATTATACACCAGAGGGTCTGAATTGTAGGTTGCAGGTTAGTGCAGATTGTTAGTTGAGTTTTGTGGGTTTTGGTTAGTTTAATTAAGAGGCCCCAAATGGTTAGGATGTGGCTATATATGCATGTTTATGATTTATTGTCTAAAACAGAACGTACGAAAATAGCCAAAATCCATGTTAACCATCTAATCAACTTGCAACATCCTGCAACCTGCAATTTAGATTTTCCGAGATATACATGCACTTAATGAATGTATGATCGAAATTTCAGTCAAATGTTTATATATATTATCAGTGTAATTTTCAGCCAATTTATTTAGAATGCAAAATTGGAAACAAATATTGATGTTAGAAGTTGAAATGTAGTCTAAAAAGTAGTAGTTCCTTCCAAACTACTATAAAATTAAACACTGCATGGTACTTTGGGGTACATGCATGAATTAAGTGTATCCCTTATCTGCGTTACGTCTTAGGACCTTTATTGATCTCTTTGGAGAGCTTCATTTTGTGGCTCTACACTTGGTGATATAATTTTGTTGTTGTTTGAAATTGCAGCGAACAATGATCATTCAATGTATAGCAATGGCATTTCTCTTCATGACCTTCACATTGACCGAGAAAGCTGGGGAGTGGATGTATTTTATATGGGTTTGCCTCATGTTCGGAACGTTCTGTGGAAATTTTGCTTTGTTTCCAGCGGCGACAGCCAAGGCATTTGGGCAGAAATATTTCACAGTTAATTATGGAATAGTGTTTTCATCGCAGGTATGGGAATTAATATACAACTAATTCAAAAAAGGTTGTCCTTTGCAAACCTTAAATTCTAAGCCTTAAACCTTAAACCCTAAGCGTGCAAAGCATAATGGGAGCATCATTTAGTCAGTTTAGAAATCATGTATATGGGGCCCATTTCTTAAAGACTGATGGTAAATATCTCCTTACGAGAACAATTCATTCACAAATGGCTGCAATATTCAATTACCAAACTTGAAACTTGTGTTCCCATTTAAGTTTTGCGCGCTTAGAGTTTAATGTTTAAAATTTAGAGTTTAAGGTTTTCAAAGGATAACCTTTTTTTGAATTGGCTGTATTTTTATAGCCATCGAATTAGAATATAAACCTTCTATATGCTTTTGTCTGTAGATACACCGCGTATACTATAGTGACCGGTCATTATTTATGGGGAGGGGTGGCGCCGAAGAGAATTTCTTGGTAAACACAGCTGTCACACATGTCCTTTACCACTTCTGTAACATGAGTTTGATAACTGCTTGTGCAATTTTCTGCACTTTAAAGTTTCAGTGTTGTCAGTTTCAGTTTCATGGTGACAAATCGGAAAATGATCAAGATAGTGACTCTGATTGATTTACATATTGCATGTATATTGACATATGACTGTTGACTGAGTGCTTTTCAGTCTTCAATAGTTGAGTGAGTCATGTTTGGAGATGACAATAAATTTTTAATACCCAACCTTTGTGTTGTTTTTTTTTTTGTCATTTACCCAAACTTTTACTCACTCAAAATTTTGTTACCCAACCCTTTTCTCTTCGGTGCCTCCCCCCGCCATAAATATTGACCGCGGTCCCTTATTGCAAAGCTTTCCATCCGTTATTGCTAATCATTGATGAAAATCCGGGCTTACGGATATTCATTGTCTATTGAAATTTCAGTGATAAATAATGAAGATTTTTAAAAGACGTTCAATTTTTATGTAGCATTTTGTATTTTGTAGATTTTCGCTGGTGTAATAGGAGCATTGCTTGCACAGAACCTCAGTGATAGTCTTGGATGGTTTGGGATGTTCTCTTTGGTCGCTGGTTTTTCTATTCTAGGTAAGTAATCAACAGTCTTTGTTATTAATTGCGCCAACAACGGTAGGTTGATGCATGGCGGTGCCGGTACATGTACATGCATCGTAACCAAAATCTATATATGCGGATTTTCACCAACTCTATACGTAGTAGATTTGGAAAATTTGTAGAAGGAAAAAATAATTTTCCAGCAATGCGTTTTGAAAGGTTTGAGAAAAAATGCTTTCTATTTCTTTTATAATAAAACTCAATAGATAGCTTTACAGGAATATAACTTTTTTTTTTAAATCCTGCATCAGATCTTTAATTGAATATGCTTGCCCAGTGTATCACGATGGTCTCCCAACGTATCTTTCGAGTCAGGGGCGGCGGAACAGATTTTGTTCTGGGGGGGCTAAATTTTTTCGGCGACCCCCTCCCCCCCCGTCACCAAAAAAATTTCGGAGGAAAAAAATTTTAGGCGTATAATATACAAAAAAAGGGACGAAAAAATTTTTTCCGGACTTATATCAAAAATTTTTTTCGGAAATACGCTTTTTTTAAACAAAATATTGCAAATTTGGCCCCTTATACCTAAATTTTCAAAAAATAACCTAAATTTTCCCCTAATTTTCAAAATTTTTTGGAAAAATTCAAATTTTCTGGGGGGCTAAGCCCCCCCACTTTTACTTCTGGGGGGACTTTAGCCCCCCTAGCCCCCCCTGTTCCGCCGCCCCTGTTTCGAAGTTTCGAAGCCCCCCCTGTTCCGCCGCCCCTGTTTCGCCCCTGTTTCGAACTATTCAAAGACGAGCAATGCGAATCATCTACCCAACAGAATCTTACGAAGATGCCTTATTATTATTATCAGGTCTAACTTCCCTATTCCTACGGCGCCAACAGATTACTAACAAAGTCTTCCTAAATATTATGAACGATGATGCACACAAATTACACGAACTACTGCCTGCTAAAAACAATATCTCGCTTAATTTACGGAAAAAGTCGAAATTCATTAACCCAAGAGTAAAAACGAACCGTTATAGAAATAATTTTATCATCAGTAATTCAATTAAGGCATAATTAACAATAGCTAGTATTAGGCAATCTAAGTATAAACACGATCAGTTCAGGAACTGTTTTAAACAATGAATCATTTCAGAAATAGTTTTACCGTAACCTAATTTAGGCATAATTAGCATTTAGCTATTGTATTTTCTAATTTGTACATATATAATGCATAGTGGAATTCTCCAACATGTTTTAAGATCCTCTCTTTTATCAATTCCTGTAAATTTTACTTAATTCAGCTTATGGCTGCAATGTAAATTTCAATAAACTATCTATCTATCTATCTATCTATCGATTAACTTAGTATAAAACGGTCAAGTTTCCTTTTTTGCTTGTGGTTCGTATAGCTTAATTTGGTTCTTAAAACTAATGATATAACACATTTTTGTTCGATTACATGCAGCACGTGTTAAAATCGTTTTTCACCTGTTTTAAAAAAATCATAGCTGCATGCGAGACGGAAAATTTTCCGTGTTTCTGTATAGCTATAGAACACGCTTCTTCACCAATGGCCATCATAAGATTGCAATTTACGTGCATGGGCGTATCTTTATACACGCATAGCCTCGACTTCATTCTTTCATTTTTTTTGAATTTTAGTCAGTCTTATTGCTAATGTCTGACGTTTCTGCATGTCTGCACTCCATGCAGTAATTCTAGTTAGTCGGATCTATACAAAGTTATTATTTCTTTAAAAAACTAATACATATGCTATACATGCATATATCGATTTTTGAGATATACATACATGTATGGTATATCACTGGAAAAAATAGTGAAATTCATTCTTGTCTATGGAATTTGCGATTGCATCACTAAATGCGTATAATTTATAGTATATACAAAAAAGTTAATGAATTTTTTAGCGATTCCTAGCCGCCTTTCGCGCTCGTATTCGACTTTTCCGCTTTGCTCGGGAACAACCTTAATTGAAATAGCTGTATCCATACTATTTGGAAATTGGAAATATGTTGTATGAAAATTGGATTTCCGTACTATTTTCAACTATAAGATCCGTACTATTTCCACAGTAAGGATTTTGAACAATAATTCCAGTGTATATATAAGTGTGTTTAAGGTGTAATTTCTTGTTGGTTTAATTTTTTCGCCCCAGGTTTAATATTGGCCATTTCATTCAATGTGAAGAAACCAAATGGAAAAGATATTTAATTATAAATGCGACTAAATGTAATGTTATCTGTTGTGACGTTAACAGCGTAGATATTCAACAACGTACGTAAATAGCTGTTATCGTAATTGAATACGTCTATGCTACAGACCAGCGGTTTCTGCATTATTTTAACATCGAGACGAGGCCATAGGGTCATGTTTTGTGTTTTTTTACCCTTTAGCCTCGTTTTCGTGAGTACTTCCACTGAGATACCGCTGGTATTCCGCAGCGGCGTATTCAATTACGATAACAGCTATTGGGAACTGTACAGGATTTTCACAATTTTCTAGTGTTAATCCCAATGGAACATCGCATGTTGGGTTTTTTTTCACATGGTCGTAAAGTCTGTAGTGCATATTCTGTCTGTTAATTTGTTTAATTTTATCCATAGCTTATCGTTTGTAATTAGTGGGTGAAAAGCCACTCCGTACGTGGAAGTAATCCCATGCACTATCTTAACTTACGCGTTTATAGCGAACATTCCACTGGCAAAGTTTTCCTGGCTTTGCTATATCACAGTAGGGGCGCACCATTAGAAAAGTGATGGGGGGTTATGGACCAGAGATACATTATTTTTTTAAATAACAAATTAAACTAGAACTTAAATTTGTAAATTATTGTAGACTCTTTATTCTAAAGGCCCATTTACACGATACGATTAGTTGTATACGATTCTTACTCTGGCGTATGTGATCGAATAAACACGCGTACAAACGTCACATTTCAAATTTCACCATTAGCGAATGAGCAATAACGTGGCATTAGCACTCGTTTTCATTCGTCAGAATGACAATCGTATACAACTAATCGTATCGTGTAAATGGGCCTTAATAAAATTATACGATCATCATCATTACTATTATTATTGTTGTTATTGTTGTCGTTGTTGTTGTTGTTAATGTTATTATTATATAATTATTGTAATTTTTGTTATTATTGTTATTGTTGTTGTTGTTGTCGTCGTCGTCGTCGTGTGCTCTAAACTTGACTGTTTAATCTGATCGGATAACCTGCAGAATCCAGGAAACAACAAGTCTGCTGAGAATGTCAGTACCTTTCTAAGAATCCTTGCTGTACCAAGCAACACTGATTTCTGCATTTCTGTTTGATGCCTATTCACTCGAAAAGACGTTCTGCCTGATTGTGATCCACTTTAGCCTTAATTGCATTCTTTCTAATTGCCTGATCCTGAACTACTAAAATTAATCCTGTCTCATTTATATTTCCCTGCCTCAATCATATCCACATCCCATCACTATAGCTATATTTCTTCTGTCTGGCTTAAATACACACACCCTCTGAGTTTTCTATAAACCTTTCATCTCTATACACGTCTTCTTAAAACTATCGACACTGTCGGTATCTTACCGCATCTAGTCAACTTCACTTCGTGCTGCTACTAACAGTCCCTTGTGACTAGTAAGAAAAATGCATGTGTAGATCAAGTTAAACATAAAATAAAACTGATTTATTAAGGGACCGGTCATTATTTATGGCAGGGGTGGGGGCCGAAGAGAAAATGGTGGGGTAATAATAAAAATAATACTTGCTTTAGGTGGGGTGGCCAAAAAATCCTTGCATGCAGAGGTGGGGTAAAAAAAACACCTTACTTTAATCACACACAATACAATATATACTAGTATCAGAGTTTAATATGTGATTATTCTAATTTTTTAATAAAATATTGCTTTCCAAAATGTTGACAGAAACACCCCCTCAACCAACCCGTAAAGGGTCATTTTTATATTCATTTACACACAAAATCTCCAAAGACTCCAATTACCAGACAAAATATATACTGCCTATATATAGGGGCTGTTTATATGGTGCAACTGCAAGCCAACCCCAGGGTACCCAAGCTGGCCCAGTTTTGGCGAGATCCTGCCTTTGTTGTTATTTCTTACTAAAGTTCACCTTGTGTATATACGAGTAAAGAGCAGGCTCAGCTATAGCTAAGCGAGATCCCGCCCCTTTAGCCCGAGATCTTGCCTCAGGAAAAGACAAGTGACCTTACGTCTGTAGCCCCTAACCCCAGGCATCCAGCCTCGCCCCCATATAAACATCCCCTTATTACATATCTCAAAAAGTATATGTACAGTCTATTAAATTTTCAGGATTTAATTTTTGGGCATCTACACTTGATACTGTATAACTAATATTTATATCCAGTATGTGCTTGTAAACCATGTGGACAATTCAGGTAGCAAATCATGAAATATGCCCCATGCCCCTTGTACTGTGAATCTGGAGAATCATTCCAATGGCTAGTTCATAATATGTTGAGCTCAAACATTGTTCTGAGTCTTTGGCAACTAGCCGTTTTTCTTTACTAGCAGACCATATACATGGATAAAATAAGAGAAATCTATTTACCCGTTTTACAAATTAATTTAATTGTTTATATAATCATACTTGGAATTCGGATGAATATCTTTATCTTCACATTGTATAACAGCAACTTTTTCTCATTAATTTACAGTAACATCATTTTCTAAATTCAGATATTCTCACATGGGACATATACTTTAGTATCGTTGTATTGTTTACAAATTAAAATATTAAATTGATTTCATAAACTTCAAGAATTCTTAAGGAATTCCTTTAAAATTTCATGATAATGCATGTGATTGTTATAGTAAGGAAATGTTAAAGCAATTTCAGAGAAAATTTTAGAATTTAGATAGAATATTTTGTGAAACTGTTTCAAAATAAAATTGCATTTTAATTAATAAAGAAATGCAAGAATGTGAAAGAAACCAAATTATATACAGTGAAACTTTAAAGTGGGAAAGAGATAGGGTGGTGAAATACGGTTAGTGTTCTAAAATGTTGAAATATATGCTGTACAGGTTTTATCATGCATGGTTAGTATATGTTTATGGGACTAGCATTGCACTATCTCGGTGAAAAGGGAATATAGCGTTGAATACAAACTATAAAAACCCATTCATATTTCAATTTTACAAGTAGACAAATTTTAAGCCTTTAGATAACTATAATTCTTTATATAGTACCTTGCTATTGTAGGGGTAACCCATAATAAGGCATGACTGTTAGTGTGCTTTATTAATTACTCCACAAGAAATAAGGGGCAAGGGATATTGGTAAACAAGTATTACCAATCAATCCTGTTCCCTTTTAATTATAATGGCCACTGTGGTCAAAGCACCCTATAATAATTATTATTTACGTTCTCTATAACAGCAGATGATTTTACTCATCAAGGGCAATTTTGTACCTTGATGAGTAATACACACACAAAATACTAACTGTTTCATTACATATTTTATGTCTGAACCTTTGACATTGCAACAAAATAGGTTTGGGTGGGGTAAAAAAATTTTCTTGCATTCCACCGGTGGGGTAGCTAGAAATTTTGTTTCGAAAAAGGTGGGGTAATGATTTTTTCCGGCTTCATTATACTTTCTCTTCGGCTCCCACCCCTGCCATAAATAATGACCGGTCCCTAACCCTATACAATGCGTATTTGAGCACGTATCATGTCCGCCAACATGCACTCGCATTCACCTCTGAGTGTGTTTTTCCAAGGTTATGTTTGTGCTTATATTCTGGCAAGCATCTTTGTGCTTGCATCCCAGCAAAATAATACCAAACAGAATAGATTATATTTAAGATCTATATAGATTAAGCCATATGTTTACAGATGTAGAAGAGGTGCTGTGGTTTAATACATAGTCTATCATGATCCGATAGTCTAAATCGTTGCATGGGTTATATTTTTGTCTGAGTTTATGTTAATTTTTGCACGGAGAAAGAAAAGTATTACGGCAGAGTCTAACGTTCATCAACAATCTCGGGTGCGTGGCTATGATCCAAGGTTTCATCGTTGGACCTCCTCATTGATCTCAAAAATATGGCTGTTTGCCTGGAGTGGATAAGCAAGATTTCAATTTTCGAAATTAGGCGTAAAAAAAATACCTGTGGTTCCGGTTTCATATCGTGAAAAAATTAGGGTCGGTAGGTCGGAAATATTTTTTTTTTAAAAAAATTTTTTTTGAATAGTTTTTTCATGGTTTTAGCGTTTTTTTGCTGGGCGATTTGCAGTAGAGTCCCGACATCAATATTAACTAGAGATGCGTATTTCCTATGGACGAATTTAGGCAATTTGGTTCAATAATTAGTGTGACAACAGACGCCATTTTGGCACGCTGTATGAGCAGCCCGCAACCACCTGGAGAAAATAAGGTCGTACGGTCAATCGCGCTGAAAAAATAATAGGGTCGGCAGAAAAAAAATAGGTACCACAGGAACCACAGGTATTTTTTTTTTAAGCCAAACATACATTTGGAAAATCGTTTCATACAATGAGCTTAAAAAGCAATTTTTGTTTGAAGAAATATAAGAAGAACTGATTTAATATGGGAAATCGTAAAAAGGTTTGCTTTGAATGTTTTTAAACATTAAAATGTTCATAAATTTTGTTGCTTGAATTTTTTTACCTAAAATATGCACTGCGCTTTCCTTTTCAATGAAACTGCATGTAAATTTCCTAAATTACCCTGTTTGATTTAATTAAGTAAAAACTTAAATTGTAAAGGTTAAGCAAATTAATTTGAAAACTGAGATTATTGATTAATTTCAACTGATTGTATTTTAGGTAAAAACAAGTTTATCGGCAAAAGCAGTTTTAATTAGTTGAATAAACATTTCTGAATATTTTACGACGCGTTTCGTTAAATTTTATATTTAATCAAAGCTCACAAAATATTATGTTAAAATAAACTACACTATCAGTCTGGCAGTCGAAAGCTCGTCTAAATAAATGTTTTTAACCAATGAATGTTTGAAATATTATGTTAAAATAAACTACACTATCAGTCTGGCAGTCGAAAGCTCGTCTAAATAAATGTTTTTAACCAATGAATGTTTGAAACTCTTTACACGATGCATGCTATATTAAAATTATAAAGTATTTACAAATATACTCAGTTCAGGATTATATATAATTAACTGTATAGTTGAAAAAAGTTCACCTCAATTAGATAAAAAAATTTTAGTTCGGTTTAAAGAGTTGAAATTATTAGAGTTCTTTGTAAGGTTAAAACTGATCAAAGTCAACTATACTTCGAGCTTCGGTAGCGGAAGAATGACGAGGATAAGTCTTGCAGCGAAGATTATCGTTAAACCATCTACATAAGTGTTTTATGTCGGAGTTTGCTTTCAAGACTCCAAGCGTTGTTTCATGTAAAATATATCAGAGTATTCTTTGCTTGCACATGACGTCACTACGGCCATCTTGGTTGATTTTAAAGTTTTGTCCAATATTTTTGGTTCGTTTTCAAAACATCTTACTGTATTGTAGTCTCCCACGCAACCGCTCTTTGACGACACAAGAGCCGCTGCGTGGGAGACTAACTATTGTGGATAGTTTACGATTTCTGGCACAATACGACAAAGAATGAAGAATATAGATTTTTAGTTGCCACGAAAATCAACCAAGATGGCGTCGATTGCAAACGAGCAATTGTCAGCGTATGCAAATCATTAACATAAAATAATGAGTTGAACCCAAAACACTACCTTGAGGAACTCTGACAGGAACATGTCTGAAAGAGGAAACGGTATTAGCCACGGCGGTGAGGTCGATCTCTATATTAATACAACTGCACTATTTTAGACACAACCGTAATTCTAACCTCAATCGTCACCCTATAAGCATTACTGTTATACTAACTGTAACAAATATCCTAGTCACAACCCAAATTCTTGTGGCCGCGTCTTGAGAAGGAGACAAAGTGACAAGTAAATCTGGTGGCCAGTTTGGCTCTAAAATATGGATGTACAATTTCTAATTTTGTATTCACCTTTCAGAATGTACTTGTGGCCCGCGAACACGCTGACCAGTGGTGGCCCAAAATACGACACCGTACAGATAATGATTAACGCATTCGCAGTCACGTGACGTTTCCAATATTTCAGCCAGACTTTTCGCATTGGAATGTCATAAAAATGAATTTGGATGTAAACTGAAATTATGTTGAATACGAAATCTATGGCCAAACTTATGGCTATCCTGGTTAAAGAACCTTTTATAATTTGCCAGATTGAGACATCAAAGCTCGTCACCAGAAAAGAGGCTAAATACGCTTGACCAAGGATGACCGTAGTGTACTCAAATAAGATATTTTGAAGTTCGAGATCTGCGTTGAACCGACGAATACGCGGCGAATTTAAAGGTTGCACTTTGAATCTTAGCCCACAGCAAGTGTTAAGACATTTAATGACAAACGTCCACATCTTTATACGAATGCCAAGCGTTGCTTTACTGAGAACGTTTGAGAGACCATGTAACAAGGATAAACCGATGAAAAGCCATATATTTTGAAAATCCGACTGCATAGTTCGGTATAGTACAATCAAAGCTCCACGTAGGAAATAGCATAATACAAAGGCGCGATCTGGTGAAATGATCTCCGAGCTTTTCCTGAGAACAATGTATTTTGCAATCACAGTTACAGGCATAAATATTCCTGGTGTGAGTGCGGCGATTATAGCTTTTTTAATCTTGCCTTGTGTTTCCCTAAAGTATTTTACGATAACGTATTCGTAGAAAGGACCAATTATGCAAGAACCCAGGAAGGCGAACGAAAGGATGAAAACAATTCGGAACAAACTGTAGGTTGTTGCCGGGTTGACTTTCTTGAATTTACGAGCAACTAAATAAGCACCGCAGAGAATGGAAAAGACAAACAAGACGTTGACGGATAACCTAAAGAAAAGAGTAAACTAGTACACATAAATCAATTAGCAATTAATTAACAATTGATTACTATTAAGACCCGTCCAGTGGTTTCAGATATGCTGGTATTTGGACCATTTTACTTTTGGTACACAATACTGGCCTACCGGATAGCTTCTGTTGAGGCGCGAAAAAGCACCTATCCGATATCGAATGTACAAGTTGCAGAACCTGAGCGAAACATCACATCTCCGTTGCAGTAATTCCTCTGAAAATTGCATTTCTAAAAGGTACGGATAGGAGTCTCTTCACGTCACTACGGAAGGCTATCCAGTATAGCGGTGTAAACACAGCCTGACATATTTTAATATGGTAAAACAAACTCCTATACTAACAAACCGTCGCAATAATATTCTCAGTTCCCGTTTCAGACAAGAAAATAATATGCAGCTGATTTAAAACAAAACAATTCGATAATCGAGAACAGTCAGAAATACCGGTACCGGCAAAATGTAATTTAAAATAGCACTTCGACCTAAGGAATATAGAAAGCTTAAAAAAGCATTAAAGTTATATTCAACGAAACGAATTTTAAAAACCATATTGAAGCGAACAAACTAATGAAAAATTCTGTGAAAAATTCTCTAACTTTTATTCAAGTGTATTGAATCTTGGTTTTATCGGCAGTGCTGACTGTTTAACTTGTGGATTGAGGAGCGTCCGTTTTGTATTATGGAATGACAAAAATTTAAACATACCGAATAGCAACGAAGCAAACTTTGCCCTTCAACTCCGAAAAACGCTTTGAAATATTTCCACCGTTCCTGAAAACTGGTTTTGTACCGAAGTCCAAGTATTCTTGTTGATTTGAGATTCTAGTACTTGCTTTAGTTCAGACAAGGTTAAAATTGGAAAAAATCCATGTTTGAAGAAACCTGACTTTGCATCAGAGAACGAGCGTAAAGTTTCCCCATTGTAGGACAATGCGTCCCAATGCGCCCACTCTATTCTTCTACTTACTGACAAAACAATTATATTTTCCGAACATGAAGTATTTAAAGTAGTTGTCATGATAACACGATAATTTCATGAAGAATATTTTTATAATTGAAAAATCCCCTAAAAATGTCACTTTTAATTACAAAATTATCAATTTCTCAAACATATATATGTTTGGTATGTTACTACAGTATACGTAATATAAGCTTCAATTTAATGTAAAATGCAACCTCGACTGGCTTCGCAAAACATTTTAACCTTCGCAAATCGCAAATGTTCTTTAATTTTATAAAACTAAGCTTAAACTTTATCAATAAACTTTGGGTTTCAAATAAAATGATTTCAAATTCTCGCATGCAAATAACTTTGCTTTCTTTTTTATTTAAAAAATTTAATCCACGAGCCGACGGCGCGAAGCGCCGTGCGAGGGTACTAATTCCCCCCAGCTATTTACACCCGGGGAAACGAAAGCATTAGCGAAGTCTAAAGCCTGGTTCACATATGCCTGCGGTATGCCTGCGACTGTATCATTATGCCTCTACTTGCCGCCGAAATACCGGCAAAGTTGAACTCAACTCAACTTTCCCGGCCTACCGCCGATGTAACTGTGGCACTGGAGGCAATCGGCGAACAAATATTCACATAATTTACGTTTTTACCACCGGCATCGTCGCCGGTACGTCGCCGGTACGTCGCAGGCATATATGTGAACCAGGCTTAAAGTTCATCAATTATCGCGGGCGTGGGTCACCAACGATGGGTGGTCATCCTCACTGATCTCAAAAATATGGCGGACTGTCATGAATGGCGGACACTGATTGGTCCAATTTAAAGTTTGCATTATAACGACTGCATGACGACAGCGAAATAGCAAACATTTCTTGATTTGATGATTGATAAATTTCTTGCAAATATATTTCATTTTTGCTCGTATTTCTGCAAGATTTTGTAAATTTCAAAAGATTTCTCAGAAAGAAAAGGCGAAAGAATCGGCTAAAAGAAGGGAGCCGACGTTAACGAAGGTAAGTTTGCTTTAAATATTGATTTTATAATGGCTTTAAAACACAACGGCCTTTGCGTATATGAAACAACTAAACAAGACAGCATATAATTTCAGTGTATATCTTTACTATTGATTCCCTTTTTTATTATATTGAACTTTTTAAATAAAAAAGAAAGCAAAGTTATTTGCAAGCGAGAACTGTTTGAAATCATTTTATTGTTAAAGGCAGTTTAGTTTTATAAAGAACACTTTAAAACGTTTTAAATTGAAGCTTATATTACGTATAATAACATACCTAACATATATATGTTGGGAAATTGATAATTTTGTAATTAAAAGTGATATTTTTAGGCGATTTTTCATTTGTATAAAGAATATTCTTAAAAAATTATCGTGTTACCATTAGACGGCCGGCCAACTGAAGCTTGCAAAAGATGATGTTCGATGGCAATTACTTGTTAAAAGCAAGTAACATCGCTAAACACATTCGAATATGCATACTTATAATGGTTTGGGGTGGTACAAGGTTTAATTCACAGTTTAAGTGCTAAAATTGAAGCATTTTTGACCACAAGTAAACCCGCTTTGTTATGATGTTGAAATATATTGAAATAATGAAATCTACAAAGTTCTTTTTCCCTGTTGCCATGCAACAAATAGACCATTCTCATTGGCTGTGACTAATTAGTCTCGCCCGCCCATTGGTTAAGAACACCGAAAATTGCATGTGCGATACGGCTGAAGCACAGACAGGGCTTCCATTTTGAAGGAAATTTCCTTTTTGAAGGAAATTTTAACTAGTTGAAGGAAATTATAAGGAAATTCGAATTAGAAGGAAATTTGAAGGAAATTTCGGAAGATTGAAGGAAATGTGAAGGAAATTGCCTTATTTAAAAAAAATCGTAAAAATACGGCAATTTCCAAGGATGAAAATCCTGTCCTGCGAGATGTAAAATCTGAAAATTTTCTGCGGGAGGACCCCCAGACCCCCCTTTGCCTCTCCCCTTTAATAATTCAGTCCCTGTAACGTCTATGTTCCTTCTAGAACAAGAAATACCCCGTTATTCGAGATAAATTACTATAAAATCAGTTTTAAATTAGTTAAAATTCAATAATTTTTATTGCGAGGAACTTTTTCCAAAAATAAGGAAATTCTTAAGGTTTTGAAGGAAATTATGTTTTTTGAAAATGGAAGCACTGAGCACAGACTGAAGTGTAAACAAATACATAAATATAATTCTTGACAAAATACGGAGATTTTTAAAGCCAAAAAGTGTGATTTTTCACTTATATTTCTGCTTTATTAATACACATTTATACATACTCCTAGCTGTTTCTTACATCCTAGGACATCACAGGAACATCACAGGAGTACAACGCTGACTAGTTTTATAGCATTTACAAGCGCACCCGTATGGCATTTTTAGTGCAACTACAATTAAGATATTGAAATTTTACATGAAGACGGATTTGTTGTTCTACATTTATTTACTCCAGCTTCTATATTCGGTACCCGATATAACCGACAAACAAACTCTTCTGTGTCGTTTTGCGAACTGTCTCCGAACTTTGCTTTCCGAACCACATTACCATTTTTACCAAATTTTTTATAAACTTTCGCTTTACAATTTTTTAGTAAAAGATGAGGTCATATCACACCCTGTTAAAGCGTGAAATCCTCAAATATTATCAATAATGAGCTGATAAGCGTTCAGTAATTTCATGAACGGAATAGCATTTTCGTTGTTTTGCGTATTAACCCTGTTAAAACCCTTGGAAACCGCATCACAAGCATGCAAAATCATTTCATATAATCACAGAATAGACAAAGTGTAGAAGTATCCTGGCTGGCATTCCTGTTTTTCAAGTAGCTATATTGGAAGCAAGTCGCCCTCTCGTTTTGACGATGAAGGATTCATGTTGTCAATGACTTGGATTATCAAATAGAATTATACAAAACCAGTTTTAAAGCTTAACTTATCTAAAAAACTAACGTAAGTTTAAACAAACTTTATATCATGTTGTCAATGACTTGGATTATTAAATAAAATTATACCAAACCAGTTTTAAAGCTTAACTTATCTAAAAAACTGACGTAAGTATAACAAACTAAACTAGAAATAACTCGTAAAAATAAGTAAAATTATAATACAAGTACAACAGCGCGAATCAATCTAGTTTTAAAGCTTTAAACTATAAACAACTAACGTAAGTAACGAACTAAAGTAGAAATTACTCGTGTTAAAAACAAAAACAACAGTGCGAAGAAAGGCTGATAAAATGAGTTTTTTGTTTATTTTTTTTATATTTGTAATAAATATTACACAAACTTGGTTTCCCTTGACTTTTCTTTTTTCCAATTTAATTTTCTTGTCCGTTTATGCTCGAATAACTCGGTTTACATTTGATTAAATCCTTTCAACACAATAGGGCCATTTATACGGAACAAAATAAGACGCGACTTACATAAGACACGACTTAGGTAAGACGCGAGTTTGTCGTATAAAAGGTACAAAATTCTTATGTAAGACGCGTCTTGGATAAGACGCGTCTTACATAAGAACAGGTCTTTTAGCTGTTCTTATTTAAGTCGCGTCTTAAATAAGAAATTTTGGACAAAAAGTCTAACTACACATGCCAGAAACTTGAAAGAACGTAAAATTTAATGCCTTGCATATTAAAACAAGAACAACCAAAACAACATTATAGCTATAGCAAATAAATAAGACCAAAGCCGTAGAGAACCATTTATGCCGATAACTCCACTTATTTAAGTCGCGTCTTACGTAAGTCGCGACTTATTTTGTCACGTATAAATGGCCCTAATATGTAAAGTTCTGTTGATTGTCAAAGAGGATATGATTCGGTTGCTCTCTGATTGGCTCATACATTTCCCAGCAACCAATCAGACTAGCTTTGTTTCTTTCGGAACAAACCTGAACTACCACACTTGTGTGTTGAAGACCAGATCTTTGAATGTGTATCGTCGCACAAGGTTCTTGGATTGATTATCCAGGATGACCTTAAGTGGAACGAACATATTTCGATGATTGTTACCAAAGCATCCAAGCGACTGCATATCCTACGTGTCCTACGACGGGGAGGGATTGCACCGCACGACCTTATCACAATTTATTATGCATTGATTAGATCTACATTAGAATATTGTTGTACAGTATGGCATTGTGGTCTACCTATGTATCTGTCCGAACAAGTCGAGAAAATTCAAAAACGTGCACTGAGGATTATACTGCCAGGTCGATCCTACGGTGAAGCGCAAGAAATGTTGCAGTGTCCTAGGCTGGATATACGTCGAGGTGAACTTTGCGAAAAGACGATGAAAAATATTGCATTAGGCAGTCGTCTTTCTTCCCATCTAACTCTCACCAGTGAGAACGAACATGTGTATAATTTAAGGAATTTTAAACAATTCGCTTCTTTTAAATGTAGAACTGATAGATTTGGTAATAGTTTTTTCCCTAGCATGATTAGTGTTTTAAACAAATAATTGTTCTTAGTTATAAGTTCTTATTTAATAATCTAATGATATATTGTAATATAGTTACTTTTAGTATTGTAATTCTCATTCAAATCAATTGTAAAACACATTGTAATTCATTTTCATGCGATGATGTGTTATTAAAATACCATTATTATTATTATTATTATTATTATTATTATTAAAAACATGCTTCTCGCATATCTAAATTACATGTGTGAAAAACTCGCTTCGCCGTTCGTAGATGGGGTAGAAAAACCTCGATTTTTTCCTTAAACTAAAAAACAAGCTTGGTAACAAGCAGATTCGTGTTCACTAAAGTCTAAGCTATTCAGTCATGCTTGTTACCAGCTTCTAACATGAAAATGCCATCGGAATTTTTTTGAAGCGTTTTTCGCAAGCTTGGCCAGCCGTCTACATGACAACTACTTTAGATACTTCATAAGATACTTCATGTTCGGAAAATACAATGGTTTTGTTAGCAAGGCGAAGCCTAGGTTTCTCCATGCATGTATTTTCTAGTATAATAGAGAGGTTAAGATACCCCGATTCCGGTTTACGGTTACGGGTGACATACACGTACCCGTACCCGTAAATCGGGGAATAACTTGTAACCTAAGAAATCCAAGATATTCCGGCGTGAGTAAACCGATCAGAGAATGGCAACTTTCGCTGTTCAGGTTCGCCATAAATTGTTGAAAACTTTGACCAGCATATGTGCATTATAATTTATTTGGGTAAGATGTTGAAAATTTGTACTATTTAAACGGCTCAAAAATAGTAAACAGAATACACCCTTACCTGTTTGTCGTTTACGTGTAGACCACAGTTTACCGCGGGGAAACGGATAGAAATTACGGGTAAAATTGCTGACATCAGCAAGAATTGGTAAACAAAATGGCGATACTCGTACCCGTAAACCGGAACCGGGGTATCTTAACCTCTCTAATAAAAAAAGGGTAATCAATAAAGATTATACGCAGCTATCAGCTTTTAAAGCAATTATAAAGCAAACAATACATCATTATTTAAAACAAACTTAGTAAAATACCTTCATTGACGTGGCCGTGGGCGCTTTGTTTCCTTCTTTTCGCCATTTTTTGAGATCAGCGAGGATGACCACCCACGCACAGTAAACCGGGCGGGGAAACGAGAACGCGCGCGCCGACGATGTGTGATATGCGTATATAAGCGCCCTGGATGCACGCTATACACTGTGTTACATTTTATGATTTTAGAATCAAATATAGTTTAAAAGTGTTGTGTACTCTACTTACTAATTTTGACCACCAAACAGCCGATTTTGATCAAAATACAATGCATGCATTAATTCGAAACGATTGCTGCAAAATCCCTGAAAAGTCAACGCAAATATAGGATGGGGTCTTAAAAAATAAAGGCTTTGGGGGGAAAGGTTAGTCGAGTTTTTGAATTGAATTCAGCGGAATGCGGAATGGGCTAAGATTTTTATTCATTTTATCGCTTTGTTTCAAATCTGTTTGCATTTAAAGACTGCATGGCTTCCGAAACTTACAAGCGCCGCCCTATGGCTTTTCTTACACTGACTTACACTGCCGGGCTTATAGCCATTAGATTTAGTTAAAA